AAGTGGAACATTACCGTTAGGTACACTTGAAGGTGGAAAAACAGCGATTGAACAAGGTTAAATTAATGATTTTTTTTTGCTTATTTTTTATTGTTACATTCTTCTTTTGTATATATTTTAGCTAAACAATTAATTTCTCATAAGAAACGTATATCATTTGAAGAAGCTAAACGTTTAGATAAAAGTAATGAAAGTATGCCGCCATGGCAACAACTTCATCCATCATCCTCCGGTCTTACATCGGGTGTTGGTTCTAGTGGTACAGCATCATCAAATATTGGTTCGTCATCACCACGTATTGTTGGTACATCAACAATATCTTCCTCTGTTTCATCAACGTCATCATCACCTGTTAATACATTAGCTGATGCATCGTCAGGCGTAACAACAAACTTATTAATCGATTCAACAAATACGAATTGTAATGGAAATGGTAATAATAAAACGTCTGGACGAACAGGAAATGATTCGTCGAAAAATCCTTATCGAACCAAGTGAAGATAAATTATTTTTCAAAAAAAAAAAAAAACCAAAATCTATTGTCTTCTTTTCTATTGAACATTAAGAGAATATTTTAGCGTGAATTGTTTGCATTCACTGATATAAATACATTTATGATGGGAAATGGATCTATTGATCAATAATCCTATTTTCATGTTTCGTTTTTTTTTTCTTTTTTTTTTTGTATAAAGTCGGCTGACTTTCCTCTGTCTCCTTTTCTTCGTTCACATGCGCGTGTCTAACTCTTTTCGTGATAAACCAAAAACAAAAAAAGAAACCACAATCTAATTCTATTGTCGTCAGTACGGAGAATATGAAATAAAGAGAAGAAGATCTTAAGTCTCTGTGTTTTAACAATATTTCTCTTCAGTGTTGTTCTACGCTTAATTGCGTCCGCAGTTTTTGTTTCTTGTTTGCTTCATTTTTTTTCCAAGACTATATGACCATTACAACTATTGAAGGCCATGTGCTTTTTTCCTACATTTGTTTGTTTATTTGTTTTGTTTGTTTGTTGTGAGCGATGATATTCTATCTCTAATTTTTCTTTGTCTGTCTTTTATTCTATGGCCACAACAAAAAAAAAACAGTATGACGACAATAACCAAAACAAAAAAAAGAAACTCTGATGAGTTTGTTCAAAGAAAAAAATTGTTTTGTTCTTCTGCTTGTGACACTCACGATAATAATATCGATGTTTTCTTAATTGAAACACATATTAATTTTTAACCATTCCTTTTTTATCTGAAAAAAATATAAAACGATTGCACGGAAAAAATAGTTTTCTTTTCTCATCAAATATTTGATCATATTCGGAAAGATAATCGTGGAAAAATAATTTATTTATGTGCATGCAAAAAGAAAATAATCAATCATCAGACGGATGGGAAATTTACTAATACGAACATATTGTTTTGTAATCATTTGTTTCAAATTTATATTTCTTTTATGGCAGAAAAAAATAAGTAATCCATTCTGTTGCAAATGTTGTATATAATAAATAACAGCATGTGTTACTTGTAATTGTCATTTTTCTTGGAAAAAAATTTTGGTCAACGTTGTCAAATATATATGAAAAATATCTTGACGATACAAATCGTTTAGATGTTGATCATTGAGAAAATGAAATCAATAATTTAAGTACCAACATCAGTAGCTCATACTCGATGTTTAATGTCAATCACCATCGTTCATATTTTGATGAGGAACGATGAAGTCTGAAAGAAATATCATTAGCAATAAATTGAGATTGAATCTTTGAGTTGTTGGGCAAAATTGTAAATTATGTATGAACATTCATGAAATGATTTACATCTTCTTAAGCTTTATGATCGAGAGCAAATGTTGAATATATATATTTGCAGATCGTCTTATTAAATATTTGTCGGTAGTCATTCAGTTTTGGGTAGTTCAGACTAATATTTACTCGTACAAGAATATGAGAATAAACAAAGTTACATTCTTTTTCATTCTGTTGAGACAAGAAATCTTTCAATGACATAGTATTATGATCTTGTCGTAAATTCAAAGTTTATATTTTTTATTCTCTCTATTAATAAGAATACAATAGAAACTTGCTTGTTATTGGTGATCCCCATTCTGTTTTATTCTCATTTTCTCAGGTATACTTCAGACATACAATGAATTAGTATATTGACTCATATAGAATTTTCTGCATAGTAATATTATCAATAATCTAAACATTATGACTGATACCCCAGGTAATAGTTTTTAATCAAATGATATGTTTATTAAATAAAACCTGTCAATCGAAAGCTTTTCGATGATGTACTTTTTATATATTGAATATTAGGGATATGAAAATCTGATTGAATAAGTACACAGTAAACTAGACAACTACATTAAACTCTTGATACGTGCCATGCAAATGTATTAATAACATTCATTCGATTAAATTCTGATAATTAACTTGGTTTATGTATTCAAGATAAAAATAATCCGCTTAGTAAAAATTTTTGTTTCGAAACTCATGACGTCGTATTTACTATATTACTCTCATATTAATACATCATGTTGATTCAAATATTTTGTCTCGTATGAGAATCAATTGATAGAAATGATTGACTACGTAGATTAATGTTAAACATTACTTTTATTATTATGATTCGTTAGAGAGAAGAAAATATGTTTTTATGACGTAAAGTTTTATAAAAAAAAAAAAAAACATTATTCATATTTTATAATACTTTTCAATGTTCAAATAAAATTATGTATGAGTATTTTGATTCAAGCTTTAAAATTAAGAATATAGAATCTTTGCTTTCACGATTTTTGGAACATTGTTCTATTTAAAAGAACAGATTATTTAACATGTTCAATGGAGTGTAATCCATTGATAGATATTGGCAATCATAGCCATAAAACATATTTTGAACTTTATTAGAGGCTATGTCAGCTCACTTTTGAGCGTTTCCTACTGAAAAAAAATCGAAAAATATTTCGGCAGGAAAGGACGATTACTTCCAGTGCTCTCCTCGAAATCCATCACTGTCGGTGGATTACAATAATGAATGATTGAATATCTTCATTTTATTTAAATGAAATGGAATATTACTTTTTATTCTCAATGATCGAGAAATATGCAACGATTTTGTTCCTAAGAGAAACGTCAATGAATGCTACTCTCAAGTGTTACAATTTTTCTGCAAATTTATCACAGCTTTAACTCTATCTAAAGGGAAAATGTTCGAGATTTGAATAATGTATTTATACACTTTGACCAACAGCCAGTTCTTTGGTAAAAAAAGAAATGTTGTTCTAGTCGTTAAGTTCATTGGAAAAACTTAGTCTCAAAAATAAGTGAAACTTCAGCTGTTCTAGAGAAAATTCGTTTTTCAAAATAATGCTTTCAGTGAAGTTGGCCACCACTTTGTCGACGTACCCGATATTGATGAAACTTTCAAAGAATGTCTTCTACATCTGAGACATAGATTCAGTTAGCGCAAATAATTCTGAACTGAGATACAGACTTTCTAGAAATCTTGATTTTTAAAGATTTTTCACGATTTTATTTGTTACAGCAGCACTTTGAGAGAAAGAGAAAGATACATATGGAATTAACATAAAAAACTGTATTGAATGACATGCCATTTGACAATTTAGGAAAGTTTTTTCGTTGGAGTTTAGGACTAGGGCCCCTCAGGGGTTTTCCATCGCCAATGATGTTTTTTTTCCATCAATCTTATTCTTAAGTAAAAGGAAACTAATATTTCTATGATAAAAAATTTGTTTTTGACAAAAAACACGTAATGTCATTGTGCTCAATAAAAATTGTCCACTGAGCACAGGATTTAATTCATATTGACATCAGTGTTTACTAAAGCATTGGAACACACCGCTAGAAAATGAAAATATTTTGATAGAGTTAGTGTCTCAATATCGTGGCCTACCCGGATGTTATTGTAGTTAGTATCTCAGCTGACCTTTTGTCGGTGACTCCCTGTTTATTATTTACACCAGCATTGCACATCCCTGGTCTAAAGCAAATTAAACGGGGAAAAAACTTCTATAATTGAAAAACAAAAATAAGTTTAGTATGTAGAAACTTCTTGGGTTTACAAGAAGTTTTCTTATCTAAAGTGACTTTTAGAATACATATAAATCAATGGTGTATCCAGGAGTTTTTAAGTTATGGATTGTTTTCTAGCTGAATTCTTTTTAGGAGTGAGTAACAACAGGTGATTAACAAAACAATTGAACTTCAATTGTTTAACACCATTTTTCCATTACAAAAACCAATGTTTATTGAAGAGAAATTCGTTGTTTCTAACTTAAAACGCGAGCTCGTTCGCCTTTTTTAATACGGTTCCATGAATGTACTTTTCAACTTTCAAATATTTGAATATATTATGTGAAAAAAGCATAATTAGAAACATTATACTGAATTTAAGTGTAATAATGAGTATTTTGAGAAAACATAGTCAACTGATATTTCTGGGTGACTTGATTAGACCACAATAAGATACGATTTGTTAAAATGATACCACTGAGGTATTTGTACACATGTCTATCAAGATTCTTCGACATTGGGCGATCGATATCATTTTAAAAAGAGATAATATATAGACAATTGCTGAATGATCCTACTCCTGTCTACGCTACTGTATGAAATATATTCTTTCGAAAACCATTTCTAATCATCAACGAAAAAAATCTATATGCAGATATTTAATTTCTTTTTTCACGACTCATCTGTCATTGCAGTGTTTTAAAGTTGTTAACGAGCTGTCATTTTTTTTTTAACAGTAAGTGTTTTATTAGTAAAAGAAAAGGAAAGATGAAAATACTCTTGTTTTTTTTTCAATGTAAAAATAGAAATGAATTAGCTTAATGAACATTCACCTATTATTCGAGGTACTTGAAAAAGAAAAATATCTCTCCTAGAAAAAAAGACTTTTTTTCTTAACACTATGAAATGAGAAAAAGTCTATTATTTATATATTTCTTATTCTTTTACTATTGTCTATTTTCATTAGTAGAATATGAGATCAAAAGTTTGGAATATTTTTATACCACTATGTGGAATATTAATCATGATGCTTCTAATATTAATTTTTTGTTGGAAAAGAATCTTTCGTACTCGTCCAATGATTTTTCCATATAGAAATCCACAAGTTGCGTTGATAACTCAAGCATATTATCAATCACGACCTTATCAAACAGTCTGGATGTCACCATCAGTCGAGCAATTACCACCTTCTTATTATTCAGTGACGAACAATACAACAATTCCATCATCTGTATCCTATGCAAAACAGTAAAATTTATATCTAAAGTCAATTCATTTGCTTTTTTTTCTATCGTTTTTGAACAAAAAAATTCAATTTAAAAAAAAACATACATAAAAACAATTGATTTAAAATGCGAATAATACATACTAAATACATTGAACTGTGTCCGTTGTATTTGTTTCCCATTGAATTGGAAAATAATTATCTTCTTTTTTAAATCCATTTTCTTTTATTTTCATAGTATTATTTAATTTATCTTGTTCTTGTTTTATTATTGAAGTCATTGATGATGGTAAAATACGTATAGTATCATTTGGATTATGACAACTTATTAAAAATCGCCATGGAAATGGACATGCTCGTATATCAACAGGAAGTTTATTTTTACATGTTTGACGTGAATGCCATAAAAAAATTCTTTGCTTATTACAATCAATTGTTAATTCAATAAAATCATTCATTTTCATATTATCAAGATATCCATTTAGAGTAGGCATCGATTTTCCATTTATATAAACATTATCATATCCAGCCCAGCCATGAACTGATGAATCCATATAGGATTTTTCATTAAGAAATGTATGTTTGGATATAATACCAAAAAAAATCCATTCATCAGAAGTCATATGTTCGATATGAAAGAATAATTTATGTTCACCTTGAGAATATTCATGAGATCCAATTATTGACGCATCAAATTTTATAGAATCATGAATAACAAGTTGACCATTATCAAGAATTTTAACATGATCAGAACATATTGAAAATTGATCATCTTTTTGTGATAATAAATTTAAATTATGATCTACAGATACATGAGTAAGTGGTTTGTCTTGTTGTACATTAGTAGAAGACGATTCGTTTGAATCAAAAGAATTTTTAATACAAACTAAACCAAATGAACATTGTTGTTGTTGTTGTTGTTTATTCGAATGATTTTCACGCATAGGATCAGGTTGAATTTTTATAATTGGCATTACAACTGGTTTATTGCCATGAATACGAACAGTAAATCTAGATTGTCCAATAAATTCATTTTTAAGATTATGTAAATCTGTTACCCATTGTTTTATATTTCTTTCATCAAAAGTATTATTATTATTATCATTGTTATTATTATGATTTGCTTCATGTAATTTTTCTGTTAATAATTTTAATTTTTCTTTTAGTTCATTAATGTGATTTTTTATTGCATCAATAAGTGCACATCGAGCTTCATTTGCCGTTTTTTGAATATGTTTTATGGATTCTTCTTCCCATTTATCAATAATTTTTTTTGATGAAGAATGTCTCTGTGCGATTGACTCATTACTATTAAGTGTATTAACAAAATCATCATGATCAACAGTTAACCAATCAAGTTGTTCATAAAGTGACTGTCGATGTTCGTTAGCATGACGTTGACAAAATATTCTTTGACATCCATTGCAATAAAATCCCGCAAGTTCTTCACATGTGTTACATTGTTTGACTATTGATTTGTCCATAATTGATGTCGAGAAAAAAAAGGCGTAATTTGCTTTTAGTATGATGATGCGTACAATGTAAAAATTTTTGAAGTTGCTTTTTAAGCTATTTTTTCAAGTTGTTTTGTCTTTTCTTTTTCTTCCTACAAGTGGTAGATATATATTGAATTAGTTAAATAAAAATTGAATCATAGACAAGAATCAATAAAAAAAAAAAAGAATAGTTTTCTAATACAAGAAGAAAAATTTTTGATGTAAACGATTAAATAAAATACTCAACATATGAAAAGTTTATTAAAATGAAATAATACTGATATATTATTGCTTAAAAAGATTCGAAAGACGATTTAATAATGACTCATTGCACTAATACAGATAGATTAAAAAATGCATGCTACGAGACTGATTGTGTTATTTAAGAAAGAAAAATCAACTAGAAAAAAACCATTTTTATCGTGAACATGAGAAATTTTTTTAAGTCAATTACCTATAAAACACGCTCCACACTGTTGTAACCTATATTTGTAAAAAAAAAAGAAAAAACAATATACCGTTCGTTTTTAGTCAGTACGAGTATTTATTTGGTTTGATACTGTTAATGTCTATTTTACATATTGAAGGTAGGTGGCTTCTCATAGTCGTATACATAAACTCCCACTCTATATAATTATGTTTTTATTCACGTAAAAATACACTACATAGTTACGCAAACAACATAATTTGCCGTAAGAATAAAATGCAACAAGGAAAGTTATGTTGAAAAAATATGAAAGGATAGAACAAGCTGACCTTCACCGACAACTCTATTGTTTATTAAATGGCAATGACTAAATAATGTTCATAGTGCTGATTTAGTAGATTGATGATTTTAAATATATTTCTAAGTTATTATTCATCATCATTTGTTGTTATAACATTTATTAATATGCAAATCTAAAAACTTAAATAACAGTTTACGACAATGAAACTATGGTTATATATATATATATCAAACGACTGTTATACAAATTCTCTTTTTTCTTTATAATGTCAATCAACTTTTTTACAAAACTAAATTATTTATGCAAATGTTTTATTGTCGATATAAACAGTATCCACTAGTATACATGTCCGATTTGCATATGAAAGTATTTCCATATACTTTTTGATATTTATACATTACTCAAATTTATTGCTTCTTTCTTCTTTTCCTTCTTTTTGGTTCCGTTATACTTTCGACGAAAAAACTCCGCTCGATGATAGTTAAATGCCATACATCACCTTTCTATAAAGGCGAAAAATTAAAAAGCACTATTATGACACAGGCCATTAGACAAATGCAAATATTGCTCATAGGAAAAGAAGGCAAAAAAACAGCTATAGCGTCATTGCAACATGAGTCAATAAATTCCAGTGATAAAGCACATGATGACTATTTAATGAAAAAAAAACCGAGTATACCACAACAAGATAAGGGAATAATTCTAGTCATCATTAATATGAAACGAACAAACCAGCAAAAGTATTAGAATGTTTTCTTACACTGTATAAATCACTTTTTTTTTTCTTTATATTTGATTAAGTTAAAATTACAACGAAATATCCACATTCATCTTTAAACGAGCTAATCCTTACAAAAAATTAGAATAACTATGTATGCCAAAAACTTAAGCTTTCTTTTTACATAAACAAATCTTCTCTCTCAATGTATACTATATAATTAACATAGCATAAAAAAAAAACATATTTGGTGATTATATTCGATTTCTTTCTAATCATTACTGAATAAATATATAGAATCGATTGGTATATATAGTCTTCAAATAATATATCGATTAAATGGCAGAACGAGGTACAATGTATACACGTAAAGAATCTATTTCAACCAAGCAAAAAGCTTCATCGTAAATAAATTTAAATTTTTTAAAAACGATTAATACATTTTTTTTTCTTTGTTTTTAAATAACTAGAATGAAATTTCAAAGCTCATTATCTCAACCAACATCTATAAATTCAACAAATCAACAAAAACCAAATTCTCGTCATCATTTGACATTACCGGTATCTTTAAATAATACTTATCCTCAAAGTCCAGCTGAAAATTATATTATTGCTAAATCACAAATGTTAATGAGTCCAAATGAACAATTAGATAGTTCACCTGACTCTCCATCATCTATTATTTCATTAACTACTCAAAGTAGTATCAGTTCAATTCAATGTCCACCAAGCCATGCTGAACTCATGCAAAGATGGCATCAAAAAAAAGCAAACGAAATATGTAAAAAACAAAAACATCGATATATATATGGAACACCTTTATCACCATCGGCTCAAAAACCGAGTTCATTGGGTATGACATTTTTTTCACCGATGCCTTTTAAACCAGCTACACCATCAAATTTACCTTCACTATCTCAAAATAATGATTTACAATTATCTATTCCATCAAATTATAAAGTAAAAAAAGATAAATTAACACAACAATCACAAGCAAATAAATCTAATGATAAAACAAAAACATTTACTACTGTTTAAAAAAAAAGATACTTTGATTTGTGTCTTTCAAAAAAAAATTCTTCTATTAAATTTGAGTAACTCAAATAAACTACTATTTAATTGTAAAAAACTACAGAAATGAATTTTTATCAAAACATAATTGAAAAACGTACCTAAAATCATGCATTTGCATCGTGAGTAAATTTTCATTAAAAAATTATCTTATATTATATCAATCATTTCCATATGTTACAAACAGATTAGTGTTGTTTTCGAAGCAAACTTTTAAATTGTTTTTCTTCACCCACTCTTATAGTCATCTGTTGTTTCTCATATACGATATTACTAATGACAGTGTGATAAAGGTCAGTTTATTTCAAAGCACAATATTCGACGTGACTTATCAATTTGATTGGACAAATTGAAAGCAATGTTCGAATATCGATAGATGTTTATCATGCTTTTTTTTTAAATCATGTCTTATTTCGTGACAGTATGATGTAAGTTAGGATTTAAATTCATAAGGTTCGAACAAGAAAACTAAGTACAATGATTGTTATTTGCAAAGAGATTTATGTTTATCTATCTATAAATCCTTTATATTTAAAACAAAATAGATAAATAAAATAGAAATCATAAACATAAATTTAAAAGCATTCTGTTACAGTCGATACTGTATTTCCTTGTCTTTTTGTATAAGTTCGACAATTTTGTTCAGAAGAACTCGATGTATCAACATACATATTATTACTTGTTCCAAATAAATCACTACCAAAATCACCAAAATCAAAATAATTTCCATCAGAAAAATAATCTGATTCATAACCAGAATCATCATCATCATCGAACAATGAATCGAAATTAAAACCAAAATGATTGTGGTCTGTATGATGAAAATGAGACGATGCGGAATCAAAGTGTTGAAAAAAATCGTTCATATTAAAATGAAAGTTTGAATAATCATTTGAATTTTCAGATGATGTAAATGATTCATGACCTTGCCTATCATATCGACGACGTTTGCTTTGATCACCTAAGGTATCATATGCTTCAGCTATGGAACGAAATTTTTCTTCAGCTTTTGGATCTTTATTTTTATCTGGATGATATTTTAAAGCTAAAAATTACGAAAAAAAAAAATCGTAAAAAAAATATTTTTTTCAAAAATTGTATTATCATACCTAATTGACGAAAACGTCGTTTAATTTCTTTATCGCTAGCATCGCGTTTCACACCTAATGTCTCATAATAATCTTTACATGCAACTATTATCATACAAATAATTAATGCAACAAGTTGTATCCATATTTTAGTATCCATTCCTTTGTATGATTGTCGATCGCGATTCTAATGCAAAATAATAGTAATATCTATAGAGTCGATCTTTATTCATCTCGATATTCAGTGCTTAATTATACACAAAAATAGCAGCTGATGTTGCTCTTAACTATTGGTTCTCAAATAATCAATTCAATTAATTCTATTTTAACTCTTACAAGTAACACTTGGTGAAAACTAAAAAATGAACGCTCATTATAAAAAAAAATTCTCTTGTAAAAAATATTCATTTCTATAGATGTCGCTAAACAAAAAGTAAAATTTGAAAATTTCTAATAGATTTATTTAAAAGAACATAAAAATTATATTACAAAAAGAAACTTATTTATAATTAATCTAATAAGAAAAAAATTCGATGTCGCCATATTGATCAAACATCCTCCATGTTGATGTATTTTATTTAGATCAATAATTATTTTACTCAACGCGCGTCAGTTGCTATGTTAAATTCTTCTGTCTAAAATTGATTGATAAAATTACAAGAAAACAAAAATGCCTCAACAAAACGAATCTTATTCATTTTCTTCAAATTCAATTGTTTCATGTATTGATTATTCTGAAGCTCAAAATATTCTTGAATTAACAACAACTAAACAAAAACAACTTCGTCGACAACGTTCACAAGTTTTATATAAACAAGTTTTACTTAAACGTACATATACACTTGTATGTGATTTATTAGATTCTGATTGTTCATATTCTTCTAATCAAACATATAAATGTCAATCATCACCACTTTCAACAATCGATACAAATAAACGAAAATTATTATCTGATGATCATGAACTTGAACCAGTAATTAAAAAATCTAAAAGTCTTATGGATAAATATTATGATATTAAAAATGATAATGATGTATTACAATTTCTTCGTGAACTCAATTCTGTCAAAGTAACATCCAGGTAGTGAGAAAAGACAAAAAAAAACTTTTTTTTTTTCTTTTGGACACTTCGGTTCTATATAAAAATATGAACTTTAGTGATGACAATGAACAAAATATACCAATTATCATCTGCATTGTGTAAGTCAATTTAACAAAGCAAACATTTTGTATCATTCGGTGAATGAACTTTCTTGTTTTTGTTTTACTTTTTTCTTCGTAACTTTATCAGATATGTTGTAGTGTTTAATAAAGCAGTCTGAAAATATCTGTGTATGTATGTATATATCTATATATATATATAGGCAATGCGCCTGAAGATTATTATCAAATTTGGACGATGAGTTATGTAGGGTAAACATGTATCATGAATTCTGTTTTTCTTTTCTTTTTCTTTTTTCTTTTAAATTTTGCGGATAAAATCAAACATATATGTCAAATGGTACCATTGAATATCAAAATATCAAAAAAAAAAAGGAAAAAAAAAAAGTCATAAGTTAATTTTTGTTTTTATTTACTTTTTTTCTTCAAATAGAATTTTATTGATTTATCTTCTTTCTGTGCGTATGTTTCACGACGACAGATCATTATGAGAACCATGAAAGGTAATCAAATCATATTTTAGTTCATTTCTAATCAATACATTATTGAATAATAGATTAAAATAGAAAAAAAAAATATTATGTTTCGAGTTAAGTTTCAAATATTTAGATAAAAATTCTTAACTATTTCAATGGTTTTTAAACAAATAAGGTGTCTAACTCTCAGCCAATAAAACAATTTATGCATCAATTCACCAATCAAAAGTTTTCGTATAACGAAAGCCATGTCGTATGAAATCATTTCGATTTTGTTTAATTTTTCATATCATGCTTTAGGACATGTAAACTGAATTATTTGAAAAGAATATCAATTATCAAATGGTTAAATACAACAACAAGTTTACAAAAAAAAGAAAGACAAGTGATGTTTTTTTTGATAATTTTTAGAAAGACGAACTATTATTTTCAAATATCACGTTAAACAAAAGAAAAAGGCTTCTTTTGGAAGATAACGATTCACTTTTAGGAGTCTCAAGAAAATGAAAAATTAGATTTTCGACTTTTTCTACAAAAAAATATGTATTCGCGATTCAAATGATGACAATTTCAGGAAGAAAGATAGAGATCACATTTTTCAACGATGGACTTGTCAGATTATCAATACTTTTGGATATAAACTTGTTCTGCATGAATCTTAAACTGAATATTTGTTTTAAGACAGACATCAACAAACTATTTTGCAGATGCCATCTTGTCTTGTTTATCACAGTCAAATGGAAACTAAATAAGTGTAAATAAAAAGATTATATTAAAGTGAGAGCTGAATGAACATTCTTTTCGTAGCTATCAAATTGCGAACAATAATGAAATCAATGAATAGAAAAGTGTTTGCAATTTTAAACGCAGAAAGTTATATTGAATCCATTTTTATTTCGTTTCTAAATTGTAAACACTTCTAAATTATCAAATAATCAATAGACTTAATTAGAATAACATTTTGATGGATATCAATTGTTTCTGAAACCTCACACTGGCCTATATTCTACCTTTGTTTCAATCCGAATGATTTAGTTTGAAGATTATTTGGGATCAGGATAATGATTTTGATAACTATCGTATTCTTTTCAAGTACAAATAATTATTTTATAATATGGCTTTTGTTCCTTACCCATATGATTCGAACAGGATAAAAAAAACCGTCGGTATCATTCGTCGAATACTAGTGATAGTTTGAAACTTAAATGATTAGTTATCATCTGACCAGCAATAGTACTACATGAGTACACTCTTATATCATCGATAGAACAGAAATCATAATCAAAATATTCATAGTTTGAAAGCCTAATATAAATGAGAATAGCTTAACATGTCGAACTGTTTTCTGATAATTGGCTTCATTTTTATTCGCAATTCTGACATTATTGTTCGATTTTTATTGTTATTTTATTCTATGTTCTGTTTGTCACTTGAATTTATTTTATCTAATAAATAATAAATGAAATCTATTATTGTATAAAAACAAAAGAAAAACAGCTGACAACTAATGTTTGTTTTATCTTCTAATGAATTTCTGGTTATATCATGCTGTTTCTTTTTCTTTTGCTGAATAAATGTTTTGAAAAACAAATATTCTCATGCTGAGAAGCAAACATAAGAAAAGCAGAGCGATTAGATATTTTGAATAGTTTATTGTCAAGAAAATCAAAATGCTTGTTCCATTGGGACGTGTTCGTCAGAGTATCGATATATTAGTAAGTACGAATTATTTCTAATTAAAAAAAGAAATTTAGTTATTTTACAGCAAAAAAATATTTATGAATATCATCATGGATCAAGTCTTTCTTTATCAACAAATTCAATTCAATATCCATCAACAAATAAAATAAAATCAAGACGTTGTCAACAGTTAATACAATTTGTTGAAGAATCATGCACAATTATTCAAGCAATATTTGTTCGTTGTATATTTATTCTTTCAACTCTAGTTACCGTTTGGCGTCTTGTCGAAGAAACAAAACAAGTTTATTATTGGTATTTACTTTTATTACTTATTTTTCTTATTATTGAAACTTATGTTATGGTTTATAAACGAAAAGGATATGAATCTAAATGGTAAAAATAAATGTCTTTCTTTTTATTTTATTTTATTTTATTTTATTTCATTAATTCTTTTAAAACAAAAGGTTTTGTTCATCGGCATTTGCTTATTTAATTGCCATTGTACCTTGTATATGGTTATTAGAATTAAATTATACATTTCGTTCGTCACTAATATCAAATCAAACAAGAATATCATTCAAACTTCAACGTCAGTTTGAATTTAAATCTTCAGCTAATGGATATATAGATGATGTTGATCGAGATATTAGCAATTCAAAAGAAAATCTAATGATAGATAAATATACATTAGCGACTAAAAGAAAACATTTGATTTCAACAGCATTAAAACCAACAAAAATACAGGATTTAACATTAGAAAAATTATTCAAAACACCACAAGAATTGATGTCGAAAGTAAAATATTTTCAAAAAGGAATTTATGATAATTTTAGTTTGAACAATTGAACAATGAAAAGATATTTGTTGTCGATTAATTCGATTATTTTTCAAAAGAAATTCAACTTTCTTAGTCATTTATTGAGAACATCAAATCAATTTCAAATTCATTTATTCCACAGAAAAGTCTTTCAAACAATGCATAATTTTATCGAAGAGAAATTAAACTTTCAATTAATCTTAAAAGAAAAATTTCTAACATCTTGAAATTGAAAAGCAATATAGAAATATATTAATAATTTGATTCACTTAAGAAAATTTCCAATTGAAAAGTTTTAATTGCTTTAGAAAAATAAAATGGGAAATTTTTTACATTGCTTGCCAGCTGCGTATGATAACAGTGATGACAATGTCATTATTTCCTGTCAAAATGCTTTCCGCGTATTATCTATTCAATGTGACAGTGCACATTGAATTATTAATAGTAAAATTGCGGTTATGTGACTATCTCGTTGATTTCCTTAAATAATGACTAAGAAAAATAGAGATTAGTTTAGTAAGAAAGAATCATATTCCAAAAGATCATAATAAATGTTTTCTATAAACATTGTTTCCGTTCTTATCAAAGAACTAATCATAGGATAATTCAATCATTTGTTGGAACAAAATGGAAATCAGATAAGAGATAATATGAATTTAATTAAAATTCTTCGAATGGAAAGATATCTCTACTATCTAAGAAAATCTAATTGACTATTCTTTTTTAGTTAAATACACATTTATCAATAGAAGACTGGCATATGATTATTGAACAAATGACTTTACTTGTACTTATTCTAAGTCGTTGGTTATTACCAAAAGGTGAATTAACCCGTGAAGAACTTTCACAATTATTATTAGTAAAAAAAAAAAAAGAAACAACAATTATGATCAAATATGAATTCTTTTTTTGTCTTTATAGATTTATATTGGTATTGCTGCTGATATAATAGAATTTTTTGAAGTATTTAAAGAGAAAAATGTATGCATTAAAATGAATAAATTTATTTAAAATAATTTCTTTTATTTAAGGTTCGAACAAATGTAATGTTAAGTATTTTAGTTCTACTTTTTTGGACATTAAGTTTATTACAGTTTTGTCTTGCATTTACTATAACACATGGCTTACATAGTCGTCTAGTTTTAAAACAAGAACAAGAACGACGATTTATTTGTAGTCCATCAGATTTTTGGGGAATGCTAATGTCATTATTACTTCAAGATATACCATTTTTTGCATTTCGTGCTACACTTCTATTTCATTATCGTATATTCTCATACTCAACCGTATTTTTTACATCAAAAAACGGTCTTATTATTATACTTCAATGGTATCGTATAACAGTTATCTTAGCAGCAACAATATCAGAAGAACGACAACGTTATCGATATCAACATAGAAAATTAATTCAAATTCTTGAAACTAATACTGATGGTAGAATAATAAATAAAACTGATAATTGTTCAGAAAATGATGAGAATCAGAATAATAATAATAATAATATTATTCATGTTTAATTTTTATTTTAAATAAAGAAAAAGAAAGAACTTGACGCCTACGTCATGCAAAGAAGTGTCATCGAAGATATCACTTTTGTTTATTCCTGTATTATATCGTTAAAAATATCATTCTATGCATAGACAATATTTTTATCAATACCAAAGTTAACTATATAATTTATATTTAAAAAACAATTTTGATCTATCTTGAATGATAATCACATAGTGATTCCAAGTATTTTCCTAGATAATTCACATTAAAAAAGACATCTATTTGAATGGAATACGCATATCTTGTTTTATGCATATGTGTATATACACATTTGGGTGTTGTCATAATCGATGATATATATTTTATATGGAGTTTAGATTGATGCCATTTGCTGATCTCTATATACATTATATTATTATCTTGTAATAAACACCCATTGTGGCATATCGTTTTCCTTAAAAGAAAGAAGAAGTCTTATCGAAGTATATGAATATAATACAAATTTCTATGATAGTATTTAAAGACTTTATTTATAGTCTATTATTTCCAGTTTAATTTCATTATTGTATTTCGAAATTGAATTTTTTATTATACAATAAATAGAAAGAATTTGGTCGTTTGCTATGAATTCTTTGTTATAATCGTTATATATATAATTTAGATTTGTTTCTAAGAAACCGGATGTAGTAATCAAAAACATCTCGTCACAATTCGATATGATCATTTCCTAGTGCAACTATCGAAGCTTAATCACATAAAAACTCAATTCTTGTTTTTTTCTTTACAAACAGTTATGAATGCAAAATATAGTTTCCTTTCGTCCTAAAATAGTTATTTATCAAATATACGTCTATTCATCAATAAGCACATTAATTATACGAATAGAAAATTGAAATTTCATCTATAGTTATTCATTAATCATTTGAATTTATCGAAAAAAAATAGCTTCTAAGTCTATTATAGTTTTTTATCGCTGAAATTTTTCATAAATTAACCTTTTAATTAGTAAATGAATAAAAGCTTAAAACACAATGGTAGCTTTCAAATATTTATACTTGACCATAATTTCATTATCATCATTCGATAATTGATTTCTTGTCGCATGAGTAAAACCGAACAGAAAAAGAATAGATTTTATTCTTGGTCGATTTATGGAATAAAAAAAAGTGCTATAAGGCACAAGATTTTCTGCTTTCTAATACAACAGAAAGCACCATCTAAATATTAGTCTATTCATAGAATGCATTAAATCTTTACTCATTCTTGCGTTAAATTTTATATTCATTAAGCAAAGAAATATAATGTTATATCGGATAATTTTCGTTAATGTATACTCAAATTAAAGCATGAAAAGTTCTAAAAAAAACCTCATATCTGTATAGATATATTTAGACAGATAATTCAATTACTGAAAATCAAGTTTTCTTTTCTGGATAGGTTTAAAATTATGTATCTGTTTGTCTTATTAATCAAATTTCAATTTAACTATTTAATTTAATTTTTATTATCATTTTGATTTTTCTGTTTTGAATACATATATATATATACATATCAAAAATGAATATATGTTGTGATGGACTTATGATAGAAAAAAAAAGGAAGTCATATGTCGACACAAATACAACTGTTATTGGCAATGGAGCCTTTTTTGCAAGTATTTGTATGACATTGACAATGGACATATAGAGGCTACCTAGTGTATTACAACTGTCGACAATGATGATATATCTCATCAATATCTTGAGTAAGCTCAAAAACCTTGAAGATATCAAATTAATATCAATCTAAAGGAAGAAGAGATTTTGTTGAAAAGATGATTAAAAACTAGAATTATTTTATTAAAGAAAAAAGAGTTTTTTTTTTATATCGTGCATATGAAAAGATTAGTTGGGGATTATACAAGCATAAAAATTCTCCAGTGTAAATTTGATAGCATAAACGAATTTTACTCTTGATAAAAAAAAAAGAATAAAATAAACATTCTTTTTTAACCTCTCTTGAGAAAAAAAAATTAATTAAAGTAACAAATATTTTATGATCTTTTCCATGAGATTGATAATTTAAAAAAACAAGCAATAGAAAATGTTGTTATTTATCTATTAATTAATTTTGTTTTTCGAATGACATTTTCTTGAAATGAGAAACCATCGTGAACTTATCACGAATCAATTGTCTAAACAGATTGTAGTAATCAATATGAATGTTCTATTCCGTTTTTTTCATCTTATTTCTTTTATTACATCATTCATTTAATGTCTTTAGATATGTTTGTTGATTATAAAATGTCGATTTCTTTATATGTTGGTCCATCTCAGAAAATTAGTCGAGCATTACGATCGATTGATCGTAAGCAATAGCACAGAGGATGGTCTTGGCGATGCTGTTGCTTCTTACTAGTAAGAGAGAAGAGTAAGAAAAAGACGATGCAGAAGAAAACCAAAATGCATCAAGAGAAAGAGTACAAGAAAAGAATGACAATAATATTACTAGAGGCACACCACAAACAACCTCGGTACGCGTATACATATACAATGTAGGATAGAACGAGAGACACGCACACACATATCGTAACAGTGGATTTGATTTCTGCCTGTGTATAGACGTTAACAAGTAATGAGCCGAGAAGACATATTTTTCGACAAGGACTAATCTATGAATCAAACAAGAGCGTATCTTCTAAATGAATGATGGATCGACCATCAACATTTTGAACTATTAGATGCTATATGTGAGAAGTTTTAAATGTTCTTGAAATCCTTTCCGATTAGTATATCTATCCATCTATCTATCTATCTGTCTCTTTATATACATATATATATATTTCTTTCTTTTTCTTTTCGTTTTCTTCATTGATGATCATCATTGTTTATTACTATACAAATACCAAATTCAATGTGAGAATTTTAAGAAATTGCTAGCTATAACTGACAATTATTCGACTACGGATGTGTTAATTGATCTCTATTTCATCGTTTTTTTTCTCTCTTGCCTTCGATAAGTCGAAGTTAAGTCGCAATTCATCTATTCATTGTTGAAAGACGTGCGTGTCCTTAACATCCTTTACTTTTACTAGCATATATATCTAAGGAAATTGTTCCATCGTTCGTACAATGACGATCCCAAACTATTGTCACCCTGCAGAGAGAGAGAGAGAGTAAGACAAAAGCAAGAACTCCTTTCTTTACGTTGTATTATTTTGAAAATCATCATCAACAGTAGTAGCAAAAGACACACAGCATGCGCGCGCAAGCAGTAAATATTGATTGAAGGCGACAATTTTCTTTTTGCTCGTCGCTAACGTCCCTTGTCTCTCTCTTTCTCTTTATTCTCTAAAACGAGAGCATCATCTTCATTTCTTTCTCTCTTTAGCATCTTATTCTCATCGTCGTTGCCGATATCTATGGATAAGATCATTTCTTTTACTACTGCTATGCATTTTGCTTGTCGTCGTTGATGTTAGACTGACGTACAGATCATACTCGTTATTTGCTATGGAAATAAGATGCTAGTGTACAATCCACCATAAGATGATAGTAGAAACAGCAGGAAATTTTTTTCCCTTGTCGATTGATATTATTCCGACATTTAGAAAAAAGCGCGACTATGCTTATACCTCTGTTTGCCTCTGGTCTCTGCCTTGAAAATACATTCAAGATAGGAAACATAGATCCTTTCGCTCTTTTCTTTTTGCTTTCTGTTTCTGTCTGCTACCATCATCATTATCATCATCGATGACGTTGTTTTGCCTTGTTGTTGTTTCTGTTGTCGTCATCATCAACTTACAAGTTAGCGTTCGTAGCCAATATGGTAGATAACTTTTGTTGTTTCTACCATTGCTACTGGTACAAACACATCACTTTTCTTGTTTTTGTTGTTCTGTATGACATTAGTTAGAAAACATAAGCAGCAGGCGATCAGTTTTGTATTATATATATATATATCAATAAGTTTTGTGTGAGTATTCCGTGCCTCTCCTCTCTCACTATATTATATTAATGGCAAAAGTTATTTGTCTCTTCTCTTATGTTTCCATGTGTGCTCATCGACAATACTATATATGAGCTTGAATTGACAGCAAGTGTAAGAAGAGAACGCGTAGGCATCAAGATAATCCCAGATGAACATTAATAAGTGACTGAATGAATGATAGACAGACATAGCATGAGAGAAAAAGAAAACCAGGAAAAAGAAAAAGAAGAAGAGGTAAGTACTATGTGGGTTTTAACTAGAAGCATATATATATATATATATTTGCGTGTGTGTGTGTGCTTCTCTAATTGAATCAATTGAGTGTTAGTGGAGTAGTAGTGCTTATGATGTTTAGTGATTGAATTCTCGATCTGTTGCCCCTACTACTGTTGTCACCGGCTGAATTTTCTTTTCTCCTACATCTACTTCGTTTTCTTTTTTTTTCCTTTTTCTAATCATTAACGGTGTTGTCGTCGTTGTTTCGGATGAAAATATACTTCCTTTTTTTGATATAGTATAAAAATTGACAAGCAAAGTAGAAAGATTTCTTTCTTTTTTTTAAATTTTAAATCGTGCTACTTTTATGTCTTTCTCATCATCATCATTATAATTTTCAATCATTAATTTTTTATTTAGGATGTGAGCTGTGCAATTCTTCTAGTCGAGACTCATTCATAATGTCTACTTTTTCTCGTTTATCACCAATGGTGATTTTATTTACATCAACTAGTCTTGTGCATGGAGCTACAATTTTAAATCAATATAATACTTCATCATTATCATCCTCTCAGACATGCTCAAAAATTCGTACGAATTGTACACAAGATGGTTTAATTATTCCTCTATGGCGTCCTCAACAAGATATATCGACTGGTGATCGTATATCACGTGCCATTGTTTATCTATTAGCACTCATTTATTTATTTATTGGTGTTGCTATTATATCAGATCGTTTTATGGCATCAATTGAAGTCATAACATCACAAAAACGTGAAATTCGAAAAAAAAATCCTGATGGTACAATATCAATAACAACTGTAGCAATATGGAATGAAAC